TGCAGAATATCACGCATTTGTTCGGGAACAAACTGCAGGTTTCTACAGCGTGGGTGCTCATTCTTTGTCTTGGTTGGTGGTGGAAATGTTTAATACATTCATCCAATCAATTTTATATGTCCTCTTTTTCTACTTCCCCAGCGGCCTCTCTCCCGCTCCTGAGAGGATTATATGGTTCTGGGCATTTTTATACCTCTATCTTATGTTTGCCACTTCCTCCAGTCAAGTCATGGCGTTGCTGTTCCCGAATCTACAGACGGCAAGTATGTTATTTTGTGCGTTCATATTGATTACGAGCGTAATTTCGTTTCAACCGCGTGATGTAAGTCAGGTGGGGAACTTTTACTATTATTGGAGTCCCATAAACAATGCATTTGAAGGCATGGTAATGACACAATGGTTTGAGGATAGCGGAAAAGTGGAAGTGGAAGCAGAAATCGTCGTCTTTGATCTGACCACCTCAATCTTCCAGAACAAGACCAAGTGTGGGGCGATCGGATGCTTGTTTGGAGACAGAGACGGCGCCGAAGGCAGAAATGTGTTCGCATATTCAAAACGATGGCGAAAACTGGGAAACATTTTCGCAATCATAGTAATATGTAACATAATATTTTTATGTGCATTGCGATTGCATCGTTTTAATAGTTAGCCCTTTCGAAATTTCAATCATGAAATATTCCTGCGTAGTCCGAATGCTAAAACAGGGATCTGTAGCTTACGAGGAAAAGTTGATATTAGATACGACAGCGCGAGGCTGACAATAATGAAAAAAAGTTATAAATTCAGAAGCACGCACCGATGCCGACCACAATTCAAACGCAAAAGCAGCAGGAGCAATGCAGCCACCTTCGAGGTCATACTCTACAGCTGCAGACGAGGTGGAGTAGAACGAGCGATGAATCTTACGAAGCTCTCAATCAAGAGGGTTTATAATATAGAAGACTGCATAAACCATGTGAATTCGACGGCTGTTGCGTACTGTTTTTAGCATCTTTCAAAATTTTCGCACGCACAAATTGTGTGTCGGTGCCACCGAAGCATATATCAGGCAATAATCGGTGTGTCGCATTTGTGGCAGCAAAGGCAGAATCTAGCAAAGAAAACAAGGATCGAAGTCAAGTGTAGAAATTTAGAAATCAAACACTACTAAGAACTATGTGTCGACCGGGAAAAAGGATGCATGAGAAAAACATGCAAAACCTTGTGTTAAGTGAGACTCCTACCTGCAAGTGCTACTAGCTACACTTATAAGATAGTCAACATGACTCCAACCTATACATAAATTATAGCCTGTTGTTACAACTAAGTGGGATAAAAGAAATAAAGCGTGTCTAATTTCATGGAAGAAAAATTCTGCACATAGTACTCGGATGGAAGCGATACCATACTTATACTCGAAAATATCTCAAGGCCCGTATATATTCTATAATCATGAAGGCTTGTAATATTAAGAAATATATCTAACATTGAAAATATTTTCGTGCCGATTTGGACCACAAATATTCAGAAATACAAAGCCACATGGGACACTTTTATCGAGAATTTGATATGCCTATCCAAGTCATCCTTCAGACTATATGTGGACGCAAAATTGGGGCCTCTAATGTGCTAATAAAATTTCCAGTTCTTTTTTTCCGAGTATAATACCTGAGCGTATTCAAGACCATATTGCGGGATTTTTCCGTATTTTTGTATCCTTGAAATCTCATTCCGAATCTGGTAGCGGCCTTCGGTCTAATGAAGAAAAATGAGACAATTTGTTTCTCAGAAACTGCAACATGGAAAGTAATGAGGGTAGCAGGGACTAGAAGATAAACTCGACTCACATGACTACATACAATGAGTTCCTTAATTCAAGTAAGTTCGTGAATTATAATCTCCCAATCAGCGACTATAAATGACTTCAGTCACTTGACAGACTTGTTAATTAAATAGGGCCTGAATAGTATGGTCACAAGAAGAGGATTTATGAATAAAGTACCTTATTGATGTTTAGGTTGCAACTATTTTTTCGCAATTATTCTTGTACGTGCTGCTCAGCGATGATGTGTTTGAGCCCTACAAAATACACTAGACCTATATTTGTACGAATCATATCTAACATACCGTCAACACAGGGCTTTAGTAACCAGCTTGTGGCCACCTTTATATTGTCAAAATGAGTCCTCTCGGCTTTTGTTGTCTCGTCATATCAGTTCATTACTGTAGACACGCAGTATAGCTGCAAGTCTCGTAGAGATATGTTTACATTTTCTATCCAAAGATGCCGTCTTCTACATCATTGGATTAGAAATTTGTTGGTCATGTCAAAGGCGACACCGTCCGACGAAGTCACCTCAAGGTAGTACTCTTTCCCCTCCGCAAAAACCCCGTCCCAGACATCTTCTTCAAGCGTCCATGTCCACACTTGCTGGCGCGTCAAAGGGTGTGGTGTGGACGGGAATGAAGCGATCAAGATTTCTTCTCCTTCCTCAGGCACTGCACGAACTGTCAACATGGTTTTTCTCATCCACCTTGGAAAATTCGAGAGGACAAGAGAGTACATTTTCCCCATTAAGACGGCATCTACTCGTGGAGGCAGCTGACGCAAAAGGGCCACCGGTTCAGTTTTCTCAGGTACTGGAAGGACAAGCGATGCGGAGGCATCCCGTAAAAGTAAGGCTTGAATTTGATCATCATGCTCCTCTATTTCATTTTCATCCAGCTCCCTGTCAGCTACTTTGGCGGATAGCTCCTTCTTAAGTTCTGAGCTTGCCGTGGTACGTCGTATAATTGGAGATGTTTCAAGTACAGCCGCCGCAGTGCTTCCTAATCCTGCCAGTGTCGTAGAAGGGACGTACACGCTCGTCGTGCGATGAACGAGAAGTTCACAAATTTGCGGTGGGATGATCAAATTGTTGTTATCAGTCGAGTTCAAAGCAGCCCCAGCAAGCATAACAGCCGTCTTGTTGACCTCTGCTTGCAGAGCAGACGTCAGGCTTCTAGTGGCAGTCGACGTCTTCAACTTTCGAGAAATTTCATCAGTGATGTTCTTCCAATCGCTCACCAAATATGCTTTGAATACTCTCTCCCGCTGACAAGTTTCTTGACGTGCCATTTCCTCAGGTCCAATACTTCCGTAATCAAACTTTTCTTCACCAACATGCCTTGAATCCTTCGATAGGAAAAATGGATGAAATTTCTTCTCATCCTCTGAAGAGACTTCCACACGCAAATGATACCGCTCGGACAGGCCTAATGCACTTATTATAGTCTTTAAGACGGCATGCACTTCTTCTTTTTTAATGCTGGCTTGAAGATGAGAGTTTCTTGGAGATGAAGAATGTGTAAAAGGTGGGGTGAAGGTGGTGCGAAGTTCGAGCTGCTGAATTGTAGTGTTGGCTGGGTTCTCTGCCCTATTTGTAATCCACATACGCGACTTTATTTGTTTTGCGGCCAAGTGTTCTCCCCCATTTTCTTCTGTCACATTGGTCCTTGTATTTGCCAGAGCGAAAAGGTTAGGTTCTGCACATGTCTTCTCTACATTGCAGCCGAGAATTGCCCCTGGTCCATCCACGCTATCAAAAGTATTGCCCGGCTTGACGTCGCAGATTTGACAAACATCCAACGGGGAAGCCAGAAATATTTTATCAGTCTTGGTATGTTCCAATTCAAGACCGGCAAGCTTGGCAAAAGGGTAGAGTAAACTGCCATTCAAGTGGTCCTCCTTCGCCCTTCGTATATTTACGTGGTCGATTCCCACGTCCAGGAACGATTGCCTGGATTTGCCTGTCTCAATTGCATTGTCTTGCAGAGCCTTTTGCAAGTTTACTCTCTCCATTCCATGCCTCATGATATGCTGTGATACATTCATTCTATCTCTGTTTAACGCGCTGTGCACGCCTTCGGCAGGCAGATAATTGTTTAATAATTCTGTCAACACCGGCTTGAGATCGAAGCTCTGTGTTAAACCTAATCTTTGAAGGGTGTCATGGTATGGCGTTAAAAGACTTCTCGACTTTCTGTCCGCGTCTTTCAACTTTTTTGTTTCCGGTGATGGGCCACCATCACTCATATTTCTTACTCCTAACCGTCTGTCGTCTCCAAAATCACCTGGAAAAGGTCCTACATCCGTAAATTGCCATGAAATCGAGCGCGCTACAAAGATGTTTTTCCCCCAATCAGTCTGTCCATGTTTGTTTACCGTCAAGGTCCCATAGAGAGTTGTAGAGTTCCCAAACGCTGTAGATTCAAACACGTTGTTCCCAGCGACATAAAGTGTCACCAAACCAGGATTTATATAGTAGACAAGAGGAGGCGGTGAAATATACATATGCAAAACCAAGGTTGCCCCCCCAAGGCCAAGGAAGAGGTCGGCACCTTGGCCAACAGCAAAGCTAATAGCTGTTGTGCTGGAATACAGTTGATTCACGCGCACGACATAGCCTGCCAAAACAACCATGTCCCCTCCCACATAGGAAAGAGATCCAATTCCTGTATTGAAAAATCCTACAACATTTACAAGTGTTGCAGTACCCGCTCCCAAAAACAATCGGCGCCCACAACCATAAAAGCTATAAAGAGCCGTAGATCGTGCATGAGACATATCCGAAAAGACCGTTACGCCTGCCCCGACGAAGTTACTCATTCCACACCCTGTCAAGAATGCAAGCGCCGACATAGTGCTTAAGATGAACCCAGTTCGAATACTTATTCCCGACCCCAGTGCAGCGTGAAAGCCAAATCCTGCCGCGATTCCCATGATTGCTTGTCCTGAGAAGATCAATCCGGTCAAAATGGCCACCCCACTTCCCGTGAAAATATCACCGCCCCCCCCAAAGTATGCGGCAAATCCAACGGCAGATGAAAAGATGCTCCCAGTAATTATGGTTGTTCCGCGTGCCAAAAAATGACGGAAACCAAGCCCTGTTGTACAAGTGAAGGCCCCTAGGAAAAAAAATAAACAGCCACTGACGACCACTGTGCCACCTAGATTCGCAATATTCCCGCCCGCTCCCAGATTATTCGAAAATGTAGACACACTCACAAAGATGCACCCAGTCAAATACCTGTGCTTGGAGGGTATAGTCACCTCGGGCTCTACTGCATCGGGGGGGGGCAAGTCTGCTGGGTCGTTCGGGAGGGACTGGGCCGGCTTGGGGACGGTGGAGATACCGCTGGTCTCGTCAAACTCCGGGTAGTTTTTCGGGTCCTCGAGGCCCAGAGCCAGGGGGACGATGGCGGTCACGTGCGTCTCGGGACCGTACACTTTGATGGGCACACGGATTTCCTGTCCCAGTTCTCGCATGATACGCAACCCTTCTTGGTTGTTAGGGCCTGCACGACGCACCCAAATGGTGATATTGTGCTCGCGCAGCTCCTCCTGAAAGGCCCGCAAGGCGGTAATAATGCCCTTGAAGGTAGCCGCCACGTCCGTGAAGTTGGCGATCCCGCCGCCGATAATCAAGACCTTGCCGCGCGGGTCCTGCATCCGCGTCATCAGGCTCAAAATCGTACGGGCGTAGTCGAAGGTCTGCTGCTCGTTGGGGGCGCCCGAGTACTCGCCGTAGTTCGCAAGTTCGTGTCCCTGGCCCAGGTCGGCGATGGAGTCCGCGTACACCACGGAGGCCCCACCGCCCGCCACCATCGTCCACACCCGCCCCGAAGGGTTGAGGACGGTCAGTTTCAACGAGGCCCCGGTCTTGGAGTCGAGCTCGCGGATGTAGGCTTCTTCCGGGAACTCGCGACGCCCGAATGGGGCGGGGAAGTCCACGTGTCCCCACTGGGGCCCACACAGGAAGGAGGCTGTCTCGTCGATCTTCGCTGCCAAGTCCAGAGGAACCACGTGCCCATCCCCAGTCACCACCAAGGGCTTGACCTCCATGTAGGCGAAGTTGAGCGCGCGGAAAAGCTTGAGGGTTCCTTCCAAAAAGGTGGCGAGGAAATCTTG